GGCGCCGAGGGAGCGCGCCCGGGGGCCGCTCTCGCCCCAGCGCCTCTGCGCGCGCGGGCCCCGCCGGGCTGGATGGGGCGGCCCGCTGCTTGCGCGCCCCACGCCTGCCCGCCCCGCCCCGCCCCGCCGCAGGCGCGGGGAGGAGGGCGCCCCGGTCTGCCTCCCTCCGGGCCGACGGACCCTTCCCCCGCGGGCTGCTCCCGGCCAGGCGCTCGGGCGGACAGGTGTGTCCCCCAGCTCAGCCCTGCAGCGCAAACAGTTCCCGGGGGGGGCGGGGGGCAGGCCCTGCCCGGAGCTGGCCCGGCTCAGGGCGTGGGGCTGATGAATCAGCATCCGCTGCGCCGGGCCGCGCGCGCCCGGCTCCGCTGCGATCGGCCGGGGAGAGTCCCGGGCGGCGGGCGGTGCGGCCAGGTCGCCTGCGAGCCCGAGGTGAGCCGGGAGGGGCTGGGCTGCGGGGTGCGCCTGGCACCCCGGCTGCGGGCCTTGGGCAGGGGTGGATGGGCCTCTGGGTGGCAGCTGGGTATCGCTGGCCTCTCCCCTCTGCTTCCCAAGCTTCCCTGCTTCCCAGAGCACGGATCTGCGCTGTGGCCCCCTGGCTGCCGTCGGAGCCGGCCCCGAAGCTCCCGCCGCCGCCGCCGCCGCCACCACCGGGGTGTCGCCATGCCCGCCTGCGCCGGCCATGGAGCCTGCTGGGAGCCTTCTGCAGGGCAAGCCCTTCTACTGCCGGGAATGGGCGCTGGGCCGGCTGGCCCTCAGCCTGGAGGGGGGCGGGGGGGTGCTGGTGACGGGGGGCCCAGGCAGCGGCAAGACTGCCCTGTGCACCGAGGCGCTGTGGCCCGTCTCCGAAGCCGGCTGCCGGGTGCAGCTGGGCAAGAGTGCCCTGGCCTGGCACTTCTGCCAGCCGCACGATGCCAGCACCTGCTCCCCCCGCGGCTTCCTGCTCCGGCTGGTGCGGCAGATCGAGCGGTGCCCCCTGCTGCCTGGGTACCGTGAGCGGCTGGGCCGGGTGGGCGCCCTCCAAGCCCTGGAGACGGCCGAGCTCAAGAACGATCCGGACGAAGCCTTCCGCAGGTGAGGAGCCCGGGGCGCTGGCCAAGCCCAGTCGCTGCGCGGAGAGAAGCGGCCCTCCTCTGTGGCCCCCACTGCCCTGTGCCCTGCCAGACGCCGCCCAGGGGTGCTGCCGCCCAGGGTCTGAAGCCCGTCCTCCCTCACCCGCCCCGGAGCCTGGTCCTAGGAGGGGGCACGTCACAGGGTGGGCAGGGCACCCGTGCTGCATGGCCAGCGCTCCAGTGTGCTCCCCAGGCCAGGCCAGGCCAGGCGGCTCGGAAACAGAGGCCCTCGAGCCGGGCTGGGGTGCGGAGCCTCCACTGCCCCCGCTAGGGACCCCGGGATCCGTTCTGGGGAGCAGAAGGCCCCCCAGAGGAAGGAGGGGAGCCAGCTTGCTCCGCAGGCTTTGGTCCTTGGGCTCCTTTGGTGCAGGAAAGTGGGGTGCTCTGTGCAGGGCCTGCCCGGCCTGCCCCCAGGAGGTCCCTGCAGCATCTCTGGGAAAGGCAGCTCTCCAGAGCCCCAGAGGGAGGGCTGCCCTCCCCAGGTCAGCAGCACTGAGCTGGACAGACACGGGGGGGGGGGAGGACACGGCAGGGGTGCAGAAGCTCGGCCTTGCCTGGAACTGGCCCTGGGGTCATTTTCCTCCCTCCCCCGCAGTGCTTCAGGGTCACCCCACGAGGCTGGTGAGCAGGAGCTCCCAGTAGGTTGGGGGGTGATGCCCGTTCCACCAGAGGGTACAGCTAAACTTTGGGATTTGTTTCTGGAAGTGGCCGTCCACCTGGCCAGCTTCCAAGGGGGCACATCCATGGGGGAGGAGGCCCCCAGTCCTGGGGTCCCTCCCGGGCCAGGGCAACGTGCCTCTGCGTGCCGCTGCCTTGTGGGGCTGCTTGTGGGTTTTCCACGGCGGCTGCATGGGGAGTGCGGGGCCAGCCGAGGTACGCTGGGATCCGGTGCGGCACCACCACCCTTCTGGCCATGGTTTGGCTGTGCCGGCGCGCTTGCCGGCCTTTCTCTGCCGGGCGGCTTGTTAATCGAGTCCCTCCTCCTCCCACCGTCCCTCCAAAATAGTGCCACTCAAGGCAGCTAAGAAGGAAACCCAGACTAAGAACAGTCTGTGCCAAAAGGGGGGGCAAAAGGGAGATGATCAGGCCCACGAGAGCAGAAGGGAGGGGGCCCCCACGCCGGCCGCTCATCCATCTCCCCCCCCCCACGCCCAGGGCTGTGCTGCTCCCCTTGCTGGACCTGGCGCCCCCCTCGAAGCCGCTCCTGATGATCGTGGACGGGCTGGACGCCGGCCGGAGCAGCCGGGAGGAGGAGAGGGTCCCCCCACCCGGCCCCAGCCAGACCCTGGCCCAGCTCCTGGGGAGCCACCTCCAGCTGCTGCCCCCCTGGCTGCTCCTGGTGTGCACGGCGCGCTCCCACAGCAAGGGGGTGCTGCGCCTCTTCCCAGGTGAGGGGGCCCGGGGCAGCGGGCTGGGGGGACAGAAAGGCTCAGTGCCCTTCCCGGGAGGCTGACGGCGGGAGGGGGGGCGGAGTGGATCGGACTCGCCTTGCGGGAGCTGATCCCGGAGCACCCGCTTCCCCGCTGGGGGTGGGCTGCGCTAGGACCTGGCCCCAGGTTCCCGGTGTGTGGCCTGCGGGCGTTCGAGGCCGGGCTGGACGTGCACACGGCGGGCACGCCACGAGCGGAGCCGGCTGGTGCCGGGGGTCGGACTAGGTGGCCCGGGAGGCCCCTCCTGCCTCGCTCTGCCTCTGTGTTTCCGTGCTGCCCCGGGCCAGGCCTCACGCTGCCGGCTCGCCCTTCTCTCCCTTCCGCAGGATTCCGGCGCCTGTGCTTGGACGACCTGCGGCAGGAGCACGTGGTCTCCGACGTGCAGCAGTACATCCTGGCGCGGCTGGACGGGGAGCAGGCGCTGCGGCGGTGCCTGGCGCGGGACGCGGCCGAGGCCCTGGGCCAGCTGCACGTCAAGAGTGACGGCTGCCTGCTGTACCTGGAGCGCGTGCTGGACGGCGTGGCCGCGGAGCTGCTGGCCCTGCGCGAGGTGCGCCACATCCCCGGCACCCTGCACGGGCTCTACCTCTGGCTGTGCCAGCGCCTCTTCCCCGGCGACGCCTTCGCCGGCGTGCGCCCGCTGCTGGAGGCCCTCCTGGCGGCCCCGCAGCCCCTGCGGCCGGCAGACCTCTTCGCGGCCCTCTGCACGCGCGGCCCGCTGCCCTGGCGGGACTTCGAGGGGCGGCTGGCCGCCCTGGCCGCGCTGCTGCGCCCGGGCCCCGGGGGCACCTGCCTGCTCTTCCACGCCAGCTTTGCCGACTGGCTGTGCGACGTCAAGCACTGCACCCCGCGCTTCCTCTGCCGGCCGGCCCGGGGGCACGCGCTGCTGGCCATGCGTGCCTCCCGCCAGGCGGCCGCCCTGGGGCCCGAGCAGGTCTGCCAGCTGGCCTGCCACCTGCTACACGCAGAGCTGGCGCTGGAGCCGTGGCAGCTGGCCCTGTGGCTTGTGTGGAGCGGGGCGCCGGTGGAGCGCTGCCTGGAGGCGGAGGAGATGCTGCGGCCCCTGGAGCCGCCGGCGCTGGAGCTCCTGGTGCTGGCTGGGGCCCGCCTGGGCGACCGGGGCCCGGGGCCCTCGCTGCAGCACGCCCTGGAGCACCAGGACTCGGTCCGGCTGCTGCTGGAGAACGGCGCCAGCGTCAACCAGCGGGACGGGAACGGGCGCACGTTGCTGGCCAGCGTGGCCCACAGCGGCAACCACGAGGTGGCGGGGCTCCTCCTGGCGCGTGGGGCGCAGACCGAGGTCCAGGACCGGCACGGGCAGACGCCCCTGACGCTGGCGGCCCGCCAAGGACACGCGCGGGTTCTGCTGTGCCTGCTGGCCCACGGGGCCGGCGTGGACTGCCCAGACCGCGACGGCTGGACCGCGCTGCGGGCCGCGGCCTGGGGGGGGGCACAGCGAAGCCGTGGGGGTCCTGCTGCGTGCGGGAGCCAGCGTGGACTGTGCCGACACCGAGGGGCGGACTGCCCTGCGAGCGGCGGCCTGGGGCGGCCACCGGGACATCGTGGCCACGCTCCTGGAGCACGGGGCGGACATCAACCGGGCGGACACCGAGGGGCGCACGGCACTCATAGCCGCGGCCTACATGGGCCATCGCGAGATCGTGGCGCTGCTCCTGGCTCACGGGGCACATGTGGACCACGTGGACGTGGATGGGCGCACGGCCCTCTCCGTGGCCGCCCTGTGTGTCCCTGCCAGCCGCGGCTATGCAGAGGTGGTCGAGCTGCTCCTGGATTACGGGGCCTCTCCGGGGCACGCGGACCGGGACGGCATGACCCCGCTGCTGGTGGCGGCCTACGAGGGCCACGCGGACGTGGTGGAGCTGCTGCTGGAGGCCGGGGCCAGCGTGGATGAGGCGGACGGCGCGGGCCGCTCGCCCCTGCTGGCCGCCGCCTCCATGGGCCACCGGGCGGCGGTGGGCAGCCTGCTGCTCTGGGGCGCGGCCGTCGACGTGCTGGATGGCGAGGGCCGCTCGGCGCTGGGCGTGGCCGCCGGGCAGGGCAGCGAGGCGGTGGTCCGGGCCCTGCTGGAGAGGGGCCTGGACGCCAACCACCGGGACGTGATGGGCTGGACCCCGCTGCACCTGGCCGCCTGGCAGGGCCACCCGAAGGCCTGCGCCGCCCTGCTGGAGGCCGGGGCCCGGGTGGGCGAGCCGAACCGGGACGGGCGCGTCCCCCTGATGCTGGCCGCCCAGGAGGGCCACGCGGCCCTCGTGCAGCTGCTCCTGGAGCACGGCTCCCCCGTCGACCACCGGGGCTACGACGGGCTCTCCGCCCTCGCCCTGGCCGCGCTTGGCCGGCACCGCACGGCCGCCGAGCTGCTCCTGCACGGGGGGGCGGAGGTGAACCCGTGCGACGCCGAGGGCCGCCCCCTGCTCTGCCTGCTGGCGCTGGAGGCGCGGGTGGGCATGGCCGAGCTGCTGCTGCGGAGCGGGGCCGGCCTGGAGGGGCGGGACGCCCAGGGGCGCACGGCACTGCATGCCGCCTGCTGGCAGGGCCAGGTGGAGGCCGCCCGGCTGCTGCTGCGCCACGGGGCGGACGCCAATGCCCTGGATGGGGAGCGCCGCTCGCCCCTGCACCTGGCTGCCTGGCGGGGCCACCCCTGGGTCGCGCGGCTCCTGCTGGAGGACGGGGCCCGGCCCAACCACGCCTGCCGCCAGGGGGCCACGGCCCTGGGCATTGCCGCACAGGAGGGGCACGCGGAGGTGGTGCGGGTCCTGCTGGCGCACGGGGCCAGCCCGCACGTGGTGGACCGGGCCGGGCGCACCCCCTGGCGCATGGCGTCCCGACGGGGCCACCAGGCCGTGCTGCGGCTGCTGGAGCGCTCTGGGACCGCCTTGCCCCCCACTGCCCCCGCCTCGCCCCCGCTGGGCTCCTCCAGCAGCTCTGGCGGCAGCCCGGCTCCCCCTGGCCAGCCAGGCAGCTCTCCCTCGGCCTCGCTGGGCTCAGCGGGTGAGCAGAGCTTGTGCCACGTTTCACAGCGCTCCTCGCAGGTCTCTGGTTCGACCTCCCACTCCCAGGCCACGGCCCACACGGTCCCCATGGACAGCCTCAGCTGCTCGGGACTCCCCCCGCAGCCCCCGGCTGCCCCCTCCCCAGGCTGCCCCACCGGCCTGGCGGAGAAGCCCAGTGGGCAGCTGGGCGGCCCCCTGATCTCGGTCAACACCCTGGACCCCCACCTCCACCTGAAGGCCGCCATTAAGCTCCGGTTTGAGGGCCCCACCAGTGGCTTTGAGTACAAGCGGGAGACTCCGCTCTGACGGGGCTGCTGGGAGGTGGGTGGCCGGCGGGCCGTGCACAAGCCACTGTGTGCGGGGGTCCCCCTCAGGGACGGGAGGCTTTCCCCCGGGACCGAATTGGGGGAGCACTGCAGGGCTGCCGGTGTGAAGCCTTCCGAAGGGCCAGGACGACGGGGGGGGGGGGGGGGGGGGGGGGGGGGCCCCGGGGGGGGGGGGGGGCGCTTGGTCCGTGGCCCCGCCTCCCTCCTTTTTAATGTGGGGGGGGGGCTGGAATGCACCGCAGCAGCAGGGAGGAAAGTGGCGGAGTCGTGGGGGGCTCAGTACAGGGCAGCTGCGTCCCTTCGGACATCCCCAAAGCAGCCTGCCCCGGGGCTCCGCAGCCGGGCGCCTTGAAGCTCCGGTAGTCGCAGGGGAGCTGCGGCGCCCCACTCCCGGGGTGGGGGCGACGGGCCGCGGTTGCCCCCGCCCGCCCTGCGGCCGCCGCGCCGCCTTCCTCGGAGTCCTCACCGGGTGCCGAAACCGTCGCCGCAAGTGACCTGCGGCCGCTCGGTGCCAAAGACGGCGGGGCGCCCGCCCTGCTCCGTGCGCCTCGGTGAAGGTGTGGCCGAGGCCGCCGCCTCTTGCCTCTGCCTGCCCGGGGGGGGGGGGCGGCCCAGGAAGGCCCTCGCCGCCCTTCGGGCCCGCCCCCAAGCAGGGCCTGCCCGGCGCGGCCCCGGCGCTCTTCGGCGCGCTTGCGGGCGGCGCTCAGGGGACGGGGGGGGCGCCCTGGGGCTGCTGCGGGGGAGGGCCGCCGCCGCCCCCCCGGGGACTCGGCACGCGGGGCGGTGCTGGGCGACCTGGGGGGGCGTCCGCAGGAGCGGCGTGGGCGCTCGGTCGGCTGCGCGCCGGCGCGGCGCAGGGAGCGGCGTCTCCGGGCCGAAGCGGCCTTCCAGCGCGGCCCCGCGCTCCCGCGGCCGCCGTGCGCCGCGCCTCTCGCAGCACGAACGCCTGGCCCGGGAGCCGTCGCCGCCGGCCGCGCGGTGTCCCTCCGTCGGCGCGGCCCGCCTTCACGGCCGGGGGCTCGGGCTTGCTGCCCTGCGCAGTGGCGCAGGCCGCCCTGGATACCTCGGAGGCCGCCGCGATGTCACCGGGGCGCTCCGCTCCCTGCAACTTCCTCCCGCGATCTCGGGCTCGCCGGATGGGCCGGACTACAGTTCCCATCGCCCCGCAGCCATCGTGGCAATTCCTAGAGTTCCGCAAGCAGGGCTTCCAGTGATGCCCCCTCCCCTGATGCAAAGCACGAACCAGTCCTCGCAGAGCAGGCTGGTCTCGCCTGGGAAGGTGGGGGGAAGCAAAGCGGGGTCGGGGGGGGGCACTACCAGGTGGATGCGCAGTTGGCTGCCGAATCCGGTCCAGAGGGCTCGTCAATGGCACCTTCTCAGACTGCGGAGCGGGAATGAGTGGCCCCCACAAGGTTCAGTTGTGGACCCAGCGCCCATCAGCATTCGCATTAACAGCATGCATGGGGGGCGCCGGGAACGCTGATCCAGTTTGCAGGTGGCAAAACGTGCAGGGAGTAAAATGCCCCGGAAGAAGCAGCCAGCTCTGGCTGGGCTGAAAGCACCAGAATGAAATTGAGGAGGGCCAGGGCCAAGTCCTGCACACAGGAAAGGCCACGCCAAGCCAGAGAGAGCATCGCAAGACGGGGGACGCTTGGCTCGACGATGCTGCGAGCGAGAAGGATCCTGGCACTGCCCCACAGCGCAAGCTGGAGGCGAGCCAACGGCGCGGTGTGGCTGCATACGGGCGAGCACTCTGCTGGGGCGCTTCAATACACGTTTGGCTTTCACATGCTGCGAGTTCTGGCTCTTCCCTTTTCTGCACTAGTTGGGCCCGTCTGGGGTACTGCCCAGTTCAAGGGAGATGCAGACAAGCCGCCGGGGGTTCAGAGGAGGGCGACAAGGGGGGTCCTGGGACCGGGAACAAGCTCCTTGAGGATGGCTGGGCGTGTTCAGCGTTGAAAAGAGAAGGCTGAGGAACAGCGTTTTTCCAATTCGTAACGGCCTGTCCCACGGAGGAGTGCCGGGATCTCAATCGTCCCGGAACGTAGCAAACGGAAGAACAGGCTCAGCTTACAGGAAGCCAAGTCCCAGCGAGACACCAGTTTCCAGAGCTGCGGAGCAGGGCAGCGCCGGCACCAGCGACTGCGCTGGAGGCATTCAAGAGGCGGCCGGACGGCCTTCCGCATGGGGGGCACGAACTGGGAGTCCTGCACTGAGCAGGGCCTTGACCGGGTGCCCCCCTTGCCCTTCCCAACTCAGCCAGTTCAGGTTTTTATGATTATGAAGAAACAAAATAAAATGTAAATAAAATTTTAATTCTCAGAGAAAGGCACTTGCCCCTTGGGGCCAAATAGCTGGCCAGCCTGGACGGTCCAGCCTCCCCCCAGCAAACGGGGGGGGGGGCACTGTGTGCTGCACGGTCGGCAGTGGCTGGCATAGGCTGTGGCATGCACAGCTGAGCACCCCTTCAATGAATTCTCCCTGTGGGTGGGTGTCCCTTGGAAACGGAACCAAGTGAGTGAGAAGGGGTCTCCCAGGGCATCTAGTCTGACCCCCAGATCCAGCCGGCTCCGCTCACGACATGCCCACCATGCGCACATCCAGCCTATCCTTGAACAGCCTCACTGATCGGCCTCAACCACCTCCCAGGGAAGCCCATTCCACCCCCTCGGGGTCCCGACTGCCAGGAAGTGCTTCCTGGCATCCAAACAGAACCTTGGTTCCCCGAGCTTGGCTCCGTGGGAGCACATCCTGCCTTCCTCTGCAGGGGAGAACAGGCCTCTCCCCACCTCTGTGTGACACCCCCTCACATGCCTGTATGTCGCCAACAGATCCCCTCTGAGTCTCCTCTTCTCCAGGCTGAAGAGACCCAGTTCCCTCAGTCTCGCCTCATACAGCATCCCCTGCAAACCGGCCACCAGCCTTGTGGCCCTGCGCTGCACTGACTCCAACCTGGCTGTATCCCTCCTGTTACGAGGGGCCCAAAACTGAACACAATACTCCAGCTGTGGGCACACCAGCGTTGTATAGAGTGGCAGTAATACCTCTCTCGATCTAGAAGCCACGCTTCTAGCTATGGGACCAAAGGTGGCGTACACCTTCTTGACCGCCATGTCACACTGCTGACTCACGTTTAGCCTGCAGTCGACCAGCACCCCGAGGTCCCTTTCACAAGTGCTGCTCTCCAGCCACTTGTCACCTAACCTGTACTTATGACACCCATCCTTATGCCCCAAGTGCAAGACCTTGCCCTTATCCACATTGAACGCCATCCTGTTGTCTCCTGCCCACTTCCACAACCTGCCCAGATACTTTTGGATCTGGAGTACCTGCTCCTCAGTTGTGGCCACTGCCCCAGTTTTAGTATCATCTGCGGATTTGATCAGCAGACTGTTCACCCTTCTTCCACGTCGTTGATGAAAAGATTAAACAAGATTGGCCCCAGGACAGAGCCCTGGGGGACCCCGCTTGTCACTGGCCGCCATCCTGATGATTCCCCGCTAATGGTTACCCTCTGCTTTCCACCAGTCAACCATGCCCTAATCTATTGGACACTGCATTGGTCTATCCCAAAATGCCTCAGTTTCTCAACTGGGATCTCATGGGGCACTTGTCAAAGGCCTGGCTTAATGCCAGGCCAACCGCATCCCCCGTGTCCCCTCCGTCTGGCCACCTCCAAGCCTTGTCACAGAATTCCACCAGGTTCAGAAATGTCTGCCGCGCAGCCCCTCAGTTGCCCTTCTCAGAAGCGATGCCCCCCCCCCCCAATTCCCGTGCCTGCCTTCGCCCGAAACTGCCCTGGCCTCTCCCAGGAGGAGCTGCTCCCGGCTGTGCAGCAGGGCCAGGAGCAGGCTGACTGGCCTGCGCGTGCGGCGCTTCGGCTCCTGTTGCCCCCACAGTGAAGGGTGGCGTGGCTGCCACAGGCAGGCCTGGCTCTGGCTCTGCCCCACAAGGCCGGCCAAGGCTGCCCTTTGTGACCTCACAGCCCGGCTGGCCCCTGCTGCCCGCCCGGCCGCCCGGAGGGGCCTCCTGCTCCAGGCCCCGAGCTCTCGCCACACCCGCCACCGCCCTGGGGCCCTGGAGGCCTCATCCGTGGCGCGCACCATGGAGGGCGGCGGCTGCGGCGGCAGGACCCAGGCCTTGGAGATCGGGGAGGCAGATGCCAACTGGGAGCTGATCCGGGACAAGGTGAGGGCGGCGGGAGTGGCCCGAGGGAGTCCTGGAGCAGGCCCCTATGGGGTAGCAAGAGGGGGCGGAGTGGCCGGCACCCCCAGCCTGGCTGCTGCCACGATGGCCTGTGGGACGAGGGGCTCTCCTCGCCGCTCGGAGCAGCAGGTGCTTCAAGGGTGCACCTTGCAGGAAGGAGCCCGCGGGCTGAGCAGCCTTCCGAGGGAGCCAAGCCTGCTCCGAGTGGGCTGGCCGAGCCATGACCTGCCCCCAGCGGCAGTCAGGGTCCACTGTGACCCACACCAGTGGAAGCCACTGCCCCGAGTGCCCCAGACGCAGCGCCATGGCGCCTCCTCACCCCAGACACACATGGCCTCCGTTCCGGCAATCCCCAGCCCTTCAAAAGTGCAGGAGCACCCTGGCTGAGAGGGGGCTGGCTTCAGCCAGGCTGAGCGCTGGATGCTGCGACCACTGGCTACAGGCTCCCCCATGAGGCACAAGGATGGCGCCTCGGGGCGGGCCTGCCGCCCTTGCCACCCCCACGCCTGCCAGCAGCACAGGGGGGCTCCGCCCTCCCCTCCTTCCGCTCTCCCCCTTTCCATCTTCCTTGGTGTGTTGGGCGGATAGTGGGGCAGGGCCAGCCAATCGGGCCCCGATCCTCCCGGGGCCTGGCTCTCCAGTGACCACCATGGCCCAGAGCTCGTGCGCAGCCTCCAGAAAGAGCCTTTGCTGGGAGGCCAGCTCATGCTCTGCGGGCTCTTGCGCTAGAGGCATGTGCCACGAGGTGCCAACACGGGCGATGTTTGCTCAGCAGCCACGAAAGGTGCAAAGCCGCCGCCAGGCCCTCCCTGCGGGGGCACAGGGCACCCACGCCTGCCCCAGTCCTTCCAGGCCTCGGCCTCCCCGTTCCCTTCCATCTTGCCTCCTCCCTCCCAGGTGGTGCCCGGAGCCCTTCGATCCCGGCACCCTCTCTGTCCCGGCAGGTCATCGAGGAGCGCTTTGGGCCGGCGGTGGTGCCGGTGCCCTTCCTGGCGGACGCTGCCTCCTACGACCTGCTGACGGTGCTGGTCAAGAAGCTGCAGCTGGGGCACGGCCTCTTGCGCCGGCCGCGCTGCCTGGTGCCCGCAGGGCCGCTGGAGAGCCTGCTGCAGGCGGGCGCGGGCACGCAGGAGCTGAGCCACGGCACGCGCGAGTACAGCGCCCGCGAGAGGGGCGAGTCGCGCTACGAGGAGACGCGGCTGGTGGGGGGCGCGCTGCGCCACATCCGCCTCTCCATGGCCGGCGTGCACAAGAGGGTGGCCTTCCTGGCGCTGCGCCCCGGCGCCGTGGCCCTGCGCGCCGACCTGCCCTGGCTGCGCGCCCAGCGCAGCATCTACGTGATCCACGAGGTCTTCTACTGCGGCGGCCTGGCCCTGGCCGTCACGCAGGGCGCCGAGCAGCGCCGCTTCCTCCGCGAGCAGCCGCTCCCCGTGGCCTTCTGCTGCCTCAAGATCGCCGTCGGCGGCAAGGGCGTGCTGGGCTCGCAGAAGCCCGGCGGGCGCGGCCTGCCCGCCCGGGCCGCCTGGCTGAGGACGGCGGTGCTGGAGCGCCCCCCCGCCGCCGCGCCCCCGGGCCCGGCCCTGCGCAGGGAGAGCCCGGAAGGGCGCCGGCGGTGGAGGCCCCTGGGGGGGCCCCCGCGGGCGCTGGCAGGTGAGAGCGGGGGGCTGCGCGGGCCCGTGGGTGGCCGGGCGCCCCGCAGGCCGGGACGCGCTCGCCTCGGGGCCGGGGCCGGGATTCGGCGGGGCTGCTCCGCGCGCCTGCGGCCGCGGGGGGGTCCCGTTCCTTGCCCCACGTAGCGTGCGCTGCTCGCGTGCCGCCGCACGGCCGCCGGCGCGTCGTGGGAACGCGGCACCGCAGCAGGTCCGCCCCCCTCCCCGCTTCACCCGAAGGGCCCCGCCCGCTCTTTCCCGAGCTCGGCTGCGGCTGTTCCTGTGCTGAGCAAGCGGCCGCTTCCTGCCTGCTCGGCCCGTCCCGGGCTTTCTCCGGCCCTGCCCCCCCCCCGCCCCCCCGCCGAAATGCCTTCCTGCTCGGGTGTTACACAGAACTGCGGGCAGCAGCGCTCGGCGGGGCCAGTGGAGCAGGGCGCGTTGGGGGCAGGGGCACGGGCCAGGCAAGGGGCTGGTTTGCAACGGCGGTGGGGGGGGGCTCCCTTCGCCCTCCACGGCCCAGAGCTTGGAGTCGCCCCGACCACCGGCCGAGCTGGAGCCGTGCGTGACGCGGCGGCAAGGGCCGTTGCGCGGCTGGGCTGCAGCCTCCGGCCCCGCCCCGCGCTGCTTCCGCGCTATTCTGCCCTAGTGGGGCCCCGTCTAGGGCAGTCCGACTCCGGGACCCACGTCCTTGGGAGGCGGGCGGCTCCCCTCGGCGCCCTTCCGACTCCCCGGGCGAGGATTCTGGGGTCAAGGCAGACGGCACCTACACGGCCTGTGCATTTGGGGGCAGCTGGGGCTTGAACCGCGCCCCCTGCCAGCATGCTCCGGTCCCCAGCCGCTGCAGCCACGGCCCCACGGGGCTGGGGTGTGTGTGTGTGGGGGGGAACAGCCCCTTCACCGCAGAGCCCCGCTCTGCTCAGGGCCCCACCTGAGAAGGGCCCTGCTCTGGCTCTGCCCCAGGGAAATGGCTGTTCCAGAGGCACCGGCCCGTGCGAGGCCCCTCCAGCACCAGCCTGGCTGACCCGGAGAGGCACTCCATGTCCCTGCCCCTCCTGCAGAGCAACGTGGCCGACAGCGACACGGAGGAGTGACCGAGGCAGCAGACCGCCCCCCCCGCAATAAAGCCTTTGACCATGTGCAGAGTGCAGCCTGGCAGGGTGTGTGCTCCAGGGGAGCCAAAGGGGGCCAGCAGTCCTCCCTTGCCCCAGGCCCCAGCGCAAGGGGCCAGGCGGGCGGGCCTTGCTCCGGCAGGCCGGGCTCCCCTTGGCAGCCTCGTGGCCCAGACGCCCCCGTGGCAGCGGCCAGGTGCCAGGTGCGTGATTTGCCTTGCGTGCCACCTGCTCTGCCCAGGCAAGGGGGTGGGGGCAGTCCCTGGTGCTGGTGGCGCGAGGCGGTGTCACGGGTGGGCTGTGGAAGCCCCACCAGCGGGTGCTGGGGCAGGAAGCAAGGGATGCTTTCGGCGCCACGCTCCCCTTGAGGTGCAGAGAAAGGCACCCGGTGGGCAGGCAGGCAGGCGCAGCAGGCCCCAACGCGGGCAGTTCTGTGCTCTGCTTCTGCGGAAGGGCCGGGGCAGCCGGGCAGCTCCGGCAAGGGATGCGGCCCCGACCTCTAGCCCCTGGCCCAGCCGGTCCCAGGAAACGGGGGGATGGCCAGTGGAGCAGCGACCGCCAGCATGGCCTCGCGCACCGGCCCCAGCGCAGCCCCTCAGGCTGGGCGGGAGGGGGTCGGGCCACCCCCCCCGAGGGCGAGCAGGCCACCTTCGGGCCCACGTGCGACAAGCGGAGATGGAGAGGCAGGCTGACGAATGCGCTTCTTTTATACATATTGCAACAAATTCTCCAGAAAAACATTCATTCCCAATAAATTAAAAAGGTCCGTGTCCCGGAACGGAGTGTCTAAAAAGGTGCCCCCCCGAGTAGTGCAGACCTGGCAGTGCCAAGCCGGGGGGCGATGCCGGCGGGGGCCGAGGGGGGAGTGCTGCGGGCGGGCGGGCGGGCGGGCGGTCACTCCTCCGGCGGCTCCAGCAGGAAGGGCGAGGTGACGGCGTGGGCCTGCGCGATGGCGGCCAGCTCCTTGAGGAACTCGCCGAAGATGACGGCACAGTAGACTGCGTTCTTCACCCGCAGCGCCTCGCTCTGCCGCTCGGCTGAGCCACGCAGCAGGGAGGCCCCGGCCAGCGCCTGCATGGCCTGCCCCTCGCGCATGGGCTGCAGGGCCAGCTGGGCCGCCTGGCGCGCCCGTGTGGGGCTGTTGGTGTGGCGCATGATCAGCTCCCCGATGGACGGCTTCCGGCTCTTCACTGCGGACGTAGAAGGCAGTGCTGGGACCGCGGCCCCCCTGGCCTCGGACGGGCGAGCGTCCCCCCCCCGCCGGGCTACCCAGGGCAACCCGGAGACTCCCCTGCGGCACCCGCCCAAAGGCGCCCACCGCACTCCCGCCCGGCTCACCGAGGGTCTCCGAGCGGCGCAGGGAGGGGGCCGCGCCCTGCGTGTCGGACCAGTCCAGCTTGGCGCGCGCGATCAGGTACTTCTTGGCCTTGAACAGCAGGGCGGGGAAGTCCTCCTGGCTGGCAGCGAAGCTCTCGATCTTGTTCTTGACCGAGCCCAGGACCTGCGGGCAGGGGGGGTCATGGCCGGGCGGGGGCCTGGCAGGAGCCCCCCCCATCCCGGGGCCCGCCCCCCGCAAGGAGGCCTGCCTGACCTGTATGAGGGACTTGACGCTGGGCTGGAAGACCATGTTGGTGTTGAGCAGGAAGGAGCGCAGCAGCGGCTGCGGGTGGCAGGCCAGCTGCGCGAGGAGCCCCGTCAGCAGCACGTTGACGTACAGCGAGTTCTGCGGCATGTTCTCCAGCTTGGCCAGCAGCACGGCCACGAAGGGGCCTGCGGAACGCCAGCACGGTGGGTGGCGCTGGGGAAGCCCAGCCCAGCCCAGCCCTGCCCTGCCCTGCCCTGCCCGGCCCCCGCACGCGTGCCCAGGCGGAGAAAGGGGGCAGCGGCTCCGGAGGGCTCACCTGTGAAGGGCTGGCTGGGGGGCTGCCCGGGCGTGCGCAGGGGACTTCTGATGACCGGGGCCGGGGGGTCAGCCGCCCGGGGCGGCTCCGTGCTGTCCGGGTGTGAGGAGAAGCTCCGGTAGGCCTCCTCCTCTTCCCGGGAGAGGGGGTCCCGCTCGGAGGACGGCTCCCCTGCGCCGTTGGCCAGCTCGTCCTCCAGCCGGCTCAGCTCCGCCGCCAGGGTCTCGACCGCCAGGGCGCCCCCGCCGTTCTCCAGCGGGGCTGGGCCCAGCAGCTGCTCCAGCAGGCAGTCTGAGCTGTCCGGGGGCGGCCAGGCCGGCCCGGGCTCGCAGCCGGGGCTCGGGGCGGAGCCGTTCTCCAGCCCGCCGGGCAGCGGGTGCCAGCAGGGCTCCTGGAGGCCCGCGCCCCCATGGGCCCCGTTGAGCAGGGCCCCCGAGTCCCTGGGGCCCGGAGAGGCCGGGGGACTGGGCTCCCCTCCGGGGGCGGCCCCTTCCGGGACAGCCGCCCCTTCCGGCAGGCCCCGTTTTTTAGTCCGGGGGGAGGCGGGCGCGTGGCCCGGGGGCCTGTCGGGGGCGGGGCCAAAGCAGTCCTGGCTGAGGGGTGGGGGGGCGGGGTCCGGGGGCGGGGCCAGGCTGCTGGCGCTGGGCTCCTCCCCGTCGTAGGGGGCGGACCACACGCGGCAGGCCCAGACGCAGCGGTCCACGTGCAGCCGGGCGTCCCGCAGGTACTCCAGGTAGTTCCCGTCCAGGTCCGCAACCTCCTCCCAGCGGCCCGGTCGGTGGCAGGGGCTGCCTGTCGGGGTTCCTGCGGGACTCGGGGCGTCCGTGCTGAGGCTCGACTGACGCATGAAGAAGGAGATGCGCGAGGGCGTGGAGGGCTTGGGGACGGTCACGACGGAGGAGGCGTCCACGCTGGGGCTCCCGTGGCCTGGGGAGGAGGCACGGAACGGACCCGGCTCGAAGCGGCAGCGGGCTTGCGCCTGCCACGGGCCCCTGCAGCCCCGGACGTCTTCGCTGGGCCCCGCAGGGGCACACGGGGCACACATGTGCCATCCGGGGCGCGGCTTCCGCCTGAGAAGCCCCCTTGGACGGGGAGCTGCCACCTCTGCCTCTCGCCCCGGGACGGGCCCCCCCCCGCCGTGCCCGCCCGCTTCAGGGCCGCCCGGCAGCCGAGCTGTCCTGCCGCCGTGATGTGAACTCGCCGTGGGCCCCCCACTTCCCCAGGGCTGCCGTGGCGCCCGCTGTGCCTCCCTGGCCCGGCAGAGGGTGGCGCACAGCAGGCGGGGGCCCCCGCCCGGGAGGTGAGCAGGCCGGCCCGGGGAGGGGGGGCTGCCGGCCACACTCGAGCCCCACGCCGCCTTGTCGCCGCGTGGCCCCGAAGGGAACGCTGGGGAGGGGGAGCCGGGAGCAACGAGGCCGCGCCCGGGGGGGGGGCCGGACTTGGGCACGGCAGCCCCCGCCTGCCCTCCCCCGGCCGGGAGGGCTGGCCGCCTCCGCTCACCCTTGGACCAGCTGGCGTGCTCCTCTTCCCGCCCGGCTGGGGGAGCGCTCTCGGGGCCGCGGCGGCAGCAGCGGGGCAGCAGCGAGAGGAACTTGCTGGCCGCCTTGCCGTACAGGTCGACCTCCTTCACCGCCCTCCGCTGGCTCAGCATGACGTGGCTGCAGGGGATCAGGTACCTGCGAGGGCGGGCGCAGTGCTCTCAGGGCCCCGGGCAGGCTGTAGCCCCAGGCCCAATCCCCCCAGGGGCACGGGCCGCAGGAAAGGGGCTTGTGGCGCTGCCCGGGGCGCGGTGTGGCCCTCTTGAAGGAGGGCCTCCGCCACCTGCCCCCGCCTCGCCGGCACCGTGCCTGCCAGCTGAGCTCTGCGCACGGCTCGGGGGAGCGGCAGGCGAGGCGAGGCGAGGCGAGGCGAGGGCAGCCCGGGGCCCCAGGCACTGCCTGCACAACGCGGCCTTCCCGGGGCCGGTGCAGCGAGCAGGGGACGCGCAGGCCACCTGCACAGGCATGGGGCAACCCCCTACTGGGCCTGAAGGGCTCCCCCGCCTCACAATCTGGCCCACCCGGAGAGCCCCCTGCCCTCCCAGCGCCAGTCCGCAAAGGCGCTCCCACCCTGGGGGTCCCGGGGTGGGGTGGGGCCGAGCCCCGGCCCACCTGAGCACCAGCTGCAGCAGGACGTCCTCGCAGTGGAGGCTGAGCAGGGTCCGGAAGAGGCCGAGCGAGACCATGCACAGCTGCAGGAGAAGGCACAGGCCACGGGCTCAGGGCCCCGCGCTCCACAGCACCCCTCACCTGCGCCCCACCCGCCCCCGCGGCACCGTCCGGGGGTCCCTGGGGCACGGTGCGTCGACGGGGTCGAGCATGGAGGCCGCCCATTCGCGGGGCGTGCGCAACTCCGTCTCGCGGCACTGGGGGGAAGGAGCCCGGCTGCCCGCCCGTCGGCCCTCCCGGGGCAGGGGCAGGGGCAGGGGCGGGGGTGGGGGCAGGGGTGGGGGCGGGGGCAGGGGCAGGGGCCGGTCACGCGAGGCCCTTCTGCAACACAGAGCAGCTGCCGGAGGGGGTCGGCCGAGGGCGCGCCTTGCCCCCTCCTCCCCCCCCACGCCCCCTCCGCGCGTGGCTGTCTCACACGGGAGTTGCTGGCCACGCGGGCCACCAGCGTGTCGAGGATGGTGCAGTGGTCGTGGCGGTGGAGCAGCAGGAAGCGCAGGAAGGTCTTCAGCAGCGCCACCTCACTGGCGCTGCGCAGGAAGAGGTCCAGGTAGGCCGTGCTGGCGATCATCTCCTCGATGGAGGACTGCGGGGGGGAGGGGTGCTCAGCACGGGGTTCCCAGGCCCCCCCGGCTGCTCCCCCGCCGGGCACGAACCCGCGGCTGCTGGCCCGGGGCCACGGCAGCCTCCGTCTGCAAGGAGCCTCGTCTCCCAGGAGGCCCCGCTGGGGCAGCTGGCCCACGAGCTGCCCAGGAGGCAGGCCCCCTCCATGACTGACCCCGAGGGGCCCAGTGCACGGGGTGGGGGGGCGGGGCCCCCTCGGCCCCTCTGGCTCCTCCTCGGGCCTGTGCTGCCCCCCCGCCCCCCGCCTCAGCCTGATGTACCTTGTGCAAGGCCGGGCCCATGACAGGCACGAGGAAGCCGTGGTGGATGTACTCGACTAGCTGCTCCTGGACCAGCGGGTGGGCCACCTGCGGGGAGAGCGGCGTGAGGGGGGGCAGTGCCCCCCAGCCCCCCTCCCGAGCCTCCTCAGGCCAAGCCCGGGCAGGGAAATGGGCCGTGCAGCCCACGGGTGGAGGGCAAGCTGCGGCAGATCTGGCCTGGTTTGTTCCCAAGCGGAGGATCGGGGCCAAAGCGCTGTTCAGCCCCGTGAAAGCCCCCCGACGGCAGCGCCGGGGGAAGGAGGGGGAGCCGCCCCGTGAGGCCCAGGCTGCTGTGCCCCCACCCTGACCTCTGGCTCCCACACCCCCCGGGCATCACCCCGCCCCCAGGCACCCCCAGAAACACGGCCGGGCACAGCCGCTGCCCCATCTCCAGCTGGGCCCCCGTCCAGGCCGCTGCCCCCCATGGCCCGTCCCCAGGGCAGGCTGCTGCGAGCAGTGCCCGAGGCAGGCGGGCAGGGCTGGCCCCGGCCACCCGCACACCTGGATGACTGCATTGCAGAACTCCAGCGAGTTCATGAAGAGGACGAGGGAGGGGACCCCAATCCAGTCCTCACGGCGCAGGAAGTGCCAGTCGTCCCCCCGGACCTCCAGCTTGCGGGGCAAGGAGGAGTACAGGGCGCTCAGGCCGGTGGCCAGGACCTGCAGGGAGACGGCCCGGGTCAGAAGGGGCACGCCCCACACCCCCGGGGCACAGAAGCGGGAAAGCGGGGCTTGGAGGGCAGCACTGGGGCAGCGTGGTCCGCGGGGGGGCAGAGCTGGTGCCCCCTCTCCCTCGAATCCCATCCTGCAGGGCAACTGGCATTCCAGGAGCCACGGAAGCGGGACCTGGGCGGGACGTGGCCATGCTGGGGCTGGGGGCTGCCAGCAGCCTGCTCCGCGCTGCATGCCGGGGCAGGGGGCTGGGGCACGCCGAGCCCCTCCAGAGACTGGCTCCCTGGCCCCAGCCTTCCGGGCTCAGCGGCCGAGGTGGCCCGGCTCACCCGGGATGATCCCACAGGGCACGGAAGTACCGGGGGGGGGGGGGGGG